CTAGACTGCCCAGACAGGCCGTGCTGGATATGCTGTTTGCCCCTCCACCCTTCTCCACCCTTTCTGTGCCCTGGGAGGCTGTCCTGTGTGGACTGCATCACCCAGGCACCCTTGTCTTCTAACTTCTGGTTGGGTTCACTCAAGGGGAGGCAGTAGCCTGAGACGATGAGAGGGAAAGAAGTTGGGTGTTTAATTGCCTGCTGGGCAGTGGCTTTGTCCTTTTACCAAGGGACACAGCTACTGCCAGGCAGCTCTTTCTTATCACTACAATTCTGATATGGGTTGAATTGTGTCCTCCCCCCTAAAATAAGATATATTGGAATCTTGACCCCCAGCACCTCAGAAAGTGATCTTATTTGGAGATAGGGTCTCTACAGAGGTCGTCAAATCAAAGGAGATGATCAGGATGGGTCCTAATCCAGTACGAATGATGTCCTTACGAGAAGGGGAAATTTGGACACAGACTGAGACACACACAGAAGAAAATATAAAGAGATACAGAGGCATGGTCATCTGCAAGCCAAGGAAAGAGGAGAGCGCCTTCCCTCGCTGTCCCCAGAAGGAGCTATCCCTCCTGATACCTAGATTTCTAGCCTCCAGAACTGGGAGACGAGAAATTTCTGTGGGTTAAGCCACCCAGTTTGTGGTCTTCCTTATGGCAGCCCTAAGCAGGCTAATATAAGCTATTGCTGGGTTCTGGCAACACCCCCCCCCCCACCTCCTGTCCCTTCAGGCCTAGGGGTGGTGAAGACTCCCACTATTGCTAGTCCCCAGATGCCTCACTGTCCCTTGTTGGTCTCCCTTAGCCCTAGCCACACTTCAGTCCTTTCATCCAATTCTCTTCAATTATGCTGTTAAACATGCCACGTGTTTCCTGAAACTTAAGCGTAGAATGTTTTCCCAATATACTTTACAAAACTGTGTGAAATTCTCTTGGGGTTCTCCAATTATGTAGACATCTACTGGGAATCTTCAAAATACAGCATCTGGTGTATTTTTTTCTATTTTTATTTATTTATTTGTTTTTAGAGAGAGAGAAAGAGCAGGAGCAGTGGAAAGGGGCAGAGGGAGAGAAAGAGACTCTCAAGCAGGCTCCACCCTGGGGCTCGATCCCATGACCCTGGAATCATGACCTGAGTCTGATCAAGAGTCTGACACTCATTCATAGCAGCACTCTCCACAACAGCTAGAACATGGAAAGAGCCTAAGTGTCCATCAACAGATGAATGGATCAAGAAGATGTGGTTTATCTATACCATGGAATACTACATGGCAATGAGAAACAATGAAATCTGGCCATGTGTAGCAACATGGATGGACCTTGAGGGTGTTATGCTGAGCGAAATAAGTCAGGCAGAGAAGGACAAATATCATATGTTTGCACGTATAGGAGGATTAGGAGGAACTTGACGGAGGAACAAGGGGGAGAAGAAGGGCGGAAATGGTGGGGGAAAGGGAGAGAGGCAAACCATGAGAGACTCTTGAATGCTGACAAAAACTGAGGACTGATGGATGTGGGGGGAAGGAGGGATGGGCATGGAGGAGGGCACTTGTGGGGATGAGCACTGAGTGTTATGTGGAAACTAATTTGACAATAAACTATTTGTAAAAAAAAAAAAAAAAAAAAAAGAGTCTGACACTCAACCACTTGAGCCACCCAGGCTCCCAGCGTCTGATGTTTTCTCACTTTCTTCCGTTGTCCATTTCATCTCACAAGACAAAGGGGTAGCCATGAAGGGAACTTGGGATTTCATTCACATCAAAACTTTGGACAAAGTGTAAGAGTTTGTGGTAACCAAAGCATGCCCTAAACTCTAGGTGAACAAATTTCAAAACTTTCAAATAAGCAATAGGGAAGATTCCAGGGCAGTCTTAAAAAATTAGCTCATGGAGCATGGGATCATTTCAGAAATTAAATTCTGACACTACTCCTGAACAGTTCACATTCTCTGAATAATTCTACTTAAAATTTTTTTTTAAATATTTATATTTGAGACAGAGACAGAGCATGAGCGAGGGAGGGGCAGAGAGAGAGGGAGACATTGAATCCAAAGCAGGCTCCAGGCTCTGAGCTGTCAGCAGAGCCTGATGTGAGATCATGATCAGCCCAACTGAGTCACCCAGGCACCTGAATAATTCTACTTTTAAAAGAACCTGAAAAAAACAGTTGTGGGAGTATGTATGCAAGTGTGGCCACCACTTGAAGAAGAAAGGTGAAGTCCAGGATGGGACAAGCCTTGTGAAAGTAGGGGTGAGAGAGCAAGGAGTAATTTTTAAAGTTACGTTTAAAGCAAGAAGCATAGAAAAGGCATACGCTTTAGAATGGGGGGAAACAAAGTAGCTTATATGAGCAATTAGAAAGATTTTGGAAAAAATGGAGAACTGAAGCATACTGAGGGAATGAGGAGAACAAATGAAAAAAAGGAAGGAACGGTCAATTCAGGGAACTCAATTCAGTGACCTTGACATGGACTCTGGAAAAACCCTCCAATGCATTATTAAACAGTTGGTAAGCTCTTCGAGAGAGAAGCAGTGATCACTCAGAGCAGGTATGACCAATTCATGCCAAGTTAAACTTAGTCCCTTTTTAATGAATCTCCAGTAATCCATCTGGGTCTTAGCGCAGCTTCATGTGGTCCTTCTCGGTGTTTTCTCTCTCATCCAGAACTTTCTCATAAACTGCACATCATTTATTCTTTGATTAGACAAATACTTGAGTACCTACTGAGGGCTGGACACTGTGCTAGGCACTGAGGATACATCAAGGAAAAGCCAAACAGGGTCCCCAACCTCATAGAGCTTACTTTCCGGTGGAGGGTACTTTCTCGATTCTGGAACTTTTCATCAGCTACCACAGCTCTCTGGTCTTTTCTCTTTAAAGATTTCTTTTTAATGTTTATTTATTTTTGAGAGATAGAGAGCATAAGCAGGGAGAGGAGACACAGAATCCGAAGCAGGCTCTAGGCTCTGAGCTGTCAGCACAGAAACCAACGTGGGGCTTGAACCCACAAACCATGAGATCATGACCTGAGCCAAAGTTGGATGCTTAACCGACTGAGCCACCCAGGTGCCCCTCTCTGGTCTTTTCTAAGTCATGTGAGGTCTTCCCGAGCTAGAAGAATCCTCATAACTCCAGGGCTTCATGGTCAGACCCTACTCTCCTTCTGGTCCTAAGCAGAGAGTAGGCTGGAAATTGGGATGCAGTTTTCCTTGGCCAACAGGCACTGTGCTCTTTTGCAATATGTCCAGAAATGCTATCATTCAGGTTCCATACAAAAGATATTAATTATCTAAATTTCAAATTTGGCAATCCTGCATTTCTGGCCTCACGTTCCACTTGGTCCACTTCACTCATTACCAGTCCCAGCCCCCACCCATTTCCAAGTCGGTCCTTTTTTGCTCAATTGATTTTCTCATTCAGGAATGCCTGACATCTCCTTTCTCCGCCTATGGAAACTCTACACATTTCCCAAGCCCCAGTTCAAAAGCTGACTCCTCCCTGGCTAGATGTAATTATTTACGTTGCTCAGCAAAATCCCGCCCAAGCCCCTATGCTTCATTTGTGCAGTACTATCCTACTTTCATCTTCCTTTCTCAGTTAATTGTTTGTCTTCCCCACTAGGGTCTAACTTCTTTTAGGGCAAGTGTCTTCAGAGCTTCTGCCTTGTCCAGCTGCAGTACAACAGGGGCTGGAAAACTAAGACCTAAAGCAAGAATGATTGAAATAGTTGGGAAAAAAGATCAACAGAAGAATAATGTTTCATGACATGAAATGCAAATTTCAGGAACCGTCAAGTAAAGCATTATTGGAACACAGACTTTATTTTATATTTTCATTTTGAGCTCCTGTGGCAGAATTGAGTAGTTGAGAAAGCGATCTTACGGTCCACAAGCCTTGATGTTTACTATATGGTTCTTTACAGAAAGATTTTGCTAACCTTGCTTTACAAAAAGGGTTTGATGACTGAATCATTGCATCGCAGCACCAAGAATAAACAAATCCACATCCTCTCCAGCTTTTTGTTTCTTTGTATGGTGGAGGTGATATTTTGCTTTTAAGTTGTCATATACATCCAATGAGATAATGCACTTAGAAAAGCATACAAACCCTATAAGACAACTATTATTTATCACGTACTGAAAAGATGCTAGTGGTAAAATGAGAAAACATTTTTATTCTCTCCTTTCCTTCCTTTACAGCCTTCGTTTATTTTTTTATTTTTATTAAGTATTTTTATTTATTTCTAGGAGAGAGAGACAGCGTGAGCAGGGGAGGGTCAGAGAGAGAGGGAGTCACAGACTCTGAAACAGGCTCCAGGCCCCGACGCGGGGCTCGAATCCACGAACCGAGAGATCATGACCTAAGCGAAAGTCGGACGCTTAACCGACTAAGCCACCCAGGCACCCCACAGCCTTCGTTTAAACGTGACATTTTAAGAGAAAATTCACTTTTAAAGTTTAAACGTGACATTTTAAGAGAAAATTCACTTTTAAAGTTTCCACGTTTCAAGTGAGGACAGGATCACAGGTTTCTTCCTTCCAGTCTTTCTTTGGTGTTGCTCCGCCTTTCTTTAACACTTGTAATGTTTCCCCCCGCCCCTCCCCACCACTTTCTTTCTATAGTATCTCCATTGGGCCTCACAAAAGCTCAGCGAAAGAACTGGGACACGCCTGATTAAATCCATTTCACAGACCAGGAAACTGAGGCGGGCTCCAGCAGGCTGCGGAGCACTGACTCAGCACGCAGGGAACCCTCCAGGCCACGGCCTTCGCCTCTGCTGAACGGCAGTCTGAACGAACCTGAGCGCGCCAGGCTTCCAAGCTTGATTCTTAAACACCTCCGTAGCATTCACGCTCGGCGTTCTCTCCGTCTCCCAGCCCCCGATTCTTCACCGCCGCCCCCCCTCCTCGAGAGCAGGTGGTAGGCTCCGCGCTCAACGCGCAGGCGCGCGCCGTCGTGGGGCGGGGGCGGGGCGGGAACTGGGGGGCGGAGTGTGCGCGGGCTTGGTTTTGGGCCGCGGCGGGAGCGGGAGTCACCGCCACTCGAGTGCGCAGGCGCCTGGCGGTTACCGGTCTCGCCATGGAGCGGAAAGGTGAGCGGTGGAGCGGCCTCCGCCACGAGGGGCAACGGCCGGCGGGGCGAGGCCCGGGACCGCGTCGGAGCTTTGCCTAGCCGCCGCAGTCCGGTCCCCGGGCGTGCGGCGCCCCCCCCCCCCCCCGCTGAGGTGGCGCCGCCCTTCACCCCCAGCCTCTGGGCTGCAGGTCCGCGCCCCTCAGCCCGGGCGTCCTTCCGCGCCGGCACTCATCGCCCCTTGTTCCCCGCCAGGCCGGCCCGCGCCTTGGGGCCGCTGCAGGGCCCGGCCCCCCGCGGGCGAGGCAGACCCCGGCCCGCCGGCCCCCTGACCCGACCCGAGCCCCCGCCGGCGCACCCCGCCTGGGCGCAGCTCTGCGCCCCGCGGGCCGCCCGCCGCCCGGCCGGCCGCCTCGCCGAAGCCGCGGCGCTCGTCCCGGAGCCGCCCCTCGGCCAGGCCCAGCACCCGGGCCTCGCGCCCCTGCTGGGTCTCCACCCTCACCTTGGTCGCCTCCTTTACTCCACATTCGCCCTTCATCCATCCCTCTCTCCTGCAGTGCTTGCGCTCCAGGCCCGAAAGAAAAGGACCAAGGCCAAGAAGGACAAAGCCCAAAGGAAGTGAGTCTTGTACCCCGACATCCCATTCTTTGGATTTCCTCCCGCACCGCCTCTCCTCTGGTTTCACCTCTTGAACGCGCGCCGGGTTCGGGCGCTCCGCGGCCCCGGCCACATGGCCTCGGAGTGGTCTTGGAGGGTCGCACTCCGTGAACCATGCGGAACGGAGCTGATGTTGCCGAGGGCCCGGCCCGCCGCCGAAGAGGGCTGTTGGAGGGAGGACCAGAGCCCGTCAGGTCCATCAGCTCCCCAACTCCGGAGAGGAGGCACGACCCCCCCCCCCCACGACCGCCCCCCTCCCGGGTCTGGGCCTTGCGACGGAGCTGGTGGATCATTACCAGTTTGTGAACTCTGCGCTCTCCCCCACCTGCTTCCCCGAGTCTTAAACTTGACTCCTACGTCTGCACGGCAGGCCGTCAGGGAGCTCTTTAGTGAATTTTCCGCATTTTGGTTTGCCTGCCGCCCGCCCGCTCTTACAGGGGAGGGCACGGAGCTTTCCCCCCGGGTCGGGCAACTTCCTGAGTCCGCACGGTGCGTCGCCTTCCAGGCTGGGGCAGGCAGACCCCTGCGTTTCGGTTTCTCCTCTTTCAAAACCTCCAGCCCTCGCGCGGAAGGCAGATGCCTTGTGCAGTGGCCCTCACGGTAGTGACGGTCAAGTTTTTTAGCCAACGCTCTTGGTGATTCTGGTTGGAGGGTGAAGTGCCCCTTTTCCGGGTTTTACCAGCAGGATGCAAACCCGGGGTTTCGGCGCTACTGTGGGAAACACAAAAGTTGGTCACAGCCTAGAAACGCCCAGTAGAGGGCTTCTGCAACGCGAGGCTTAGTCTAAAGAACTTTTATCTTGTTCTAACGTTGAATTGCTGTGACTTGGGAATTTGTATTGAGAAAAGTGCATCATTTTCTGGACACTTCCATTTCCTTGATGGTATGTGTTGTCCAGTCTCCTCCTTGAGTTGATAAAAACGACCTTTTTCTGAGGTTTTCCTAGGTTACCTTTCTGAATGATATTACCAGGTGTGTGTGTGGGGGGGGGGTTCTTGGTGACTACCTGAGGTTTGAGAATGACACAGAATGACTTCTAGCTCTTGAGCTAAAGCGGTAGGTGACCTCACCTCTCACTCCGTTTCTATCAACTGTCTCATGAAATTTTTTATTTTATAAAGTGCTTGGTTAACCAACGTATTTAAATATGAGTTTGAGTTTATCTGCGTGTGTTTGCCTCGTGATTATCCATGTATGGGTTATTCCAAAACCAGTTTTTATTTATTACTTTTTTTTAATGTTTTTTTTTTAAGGTTTTTTTTTTTTTTTTTTTATTTCTGAGAGAGAGACAGCATGAGCAGGGGAGGGTCAGAGAGAGAGGGAGACACAGGATCTGAAGTTGGCTCCAGGCTCTGAGCTGTCAGCACAGAGCCCGACGCGGGGCTCGAACCCACGAACTGTGAGATCACGACCTGGGCCGAAGTCGGACGCTTAACCGACTGAGCCACCCAGGCACCCCTTTTAATGTTTATTTTTGAGAGAGAGACAGAGTGCAAGGAGGGGAAGGGCAGGGGGGGCGGGGGGAGACAGAATCCGAAAGCAGGCTGCAGGCTCCAAGCTGTCAGTACTGAGCCTGAAGTGGGACTCGAACTCGCAAACTGTAAAGATCATGACCTGAGCCGAAGTTGGTCACTCAGCCAACTGAGCCACTGAGGCACCCCTCAAAACCAGTTTTTAATCCCAGATTGGTTTAATGGAAGCAGCCGAGGAGCTAACCTGGTTCTTGTCTGCAGTGGGAATTTAAGTGTTACTCTTTTTTTTTTTTTTTTATGTGCCTTAGTTTTGTTATTCCCTGTGGAGCAGATATGAATGTGCTATAAAATGTTATATTTTCTGCTGATATAAAGAGATGGTAATTTTATTATTCACTGTATTGTTGAGAAATGATCTGTCTTGGTCTCTCCACACGGAAATTAATTTGTATTAACCTGAATCAATCTATAGCTTGGGAAGAAAATATACATAGGTGATCATATGTATGTATATAAATATATACATATATTTTTTTAAAGTAGGCTTCACACCCAACATGGGGCTTGAACTCACGACCCTGAGATTAAGAGTTGCATGCTCTACCAACTGAGAGAGACAGATACCCCATTATCTATTTTTAGCACCAGATAATCATTACTTTGGATTATCTATTTAAACTATATGCTTTATTTCTAAAGCCGAATATATGTGCTTTCGATTCTCTGTTACTCCTTCATTCACTGCTGGGTAATTTGTGTTCATTATTCCCACACTTGCACAAAACAAGCGAGTAGTACAGATAATCCATCAGTTATTTTACCGAATATTTCATTTTGTACAACTTTAACTCCTGGAATTTTATGTAAATGAATGACCTTCATTTACTTGTCGCTTCAGAGGTGCTTTATTTTTGTCTTCGTCAATGGTTCTTCCTGACAATGTTACTTTACTTTTTTTGTTTGTTTCTCCCGCCTCCTTTTAAGTAGCTGAAATGTCTAATTGGTTAGAATACTGTGTCAGAAGTTCAAGCCCCACCTGACTCAGGTAACTTGACTCCGTTCCGTGACTCCTGAGTGCACTTTAGACTTCTAGTCCTTTGGCAAAGGCAAGCTGCTAGGTACCAGATTGGTCAGGGAGAAGGTCTGAAGCAGCATGCATGGAATTTGGTCTTGCGAGTGAGTCAGATCTGGTTTGAATTCTGATTTTGCCACTTTTTAGCCATTTGACCTTGGATAACTCAGTTAAGGAAATGGTCTTACCTTAGTCATGATGACAACTGAGAAGTTAGAAAAACCAAGCATTTGGGGTGTCTGGGTGGCTCAGTTGGTTAAGCATCTGACTTTGGCTCAGGTCATGATCTCATGGTTCGTGGGTTCAAGCCCCGTGTTGGGCTCTGTGCTGTAGCTCAGAGCCTGGAGCCTGCTTCGGATTTTGTCTCTCTCTCTCTTTCTCTCTCTCTGCCCCTCCCCCACTTGTGCCCTATCTCTCTCTGTCTCTCAAAAATGAATAAATGTTAAAAATTTTAGATAAAAGAAAAACACGCATTTAAATGAAAAAATTTAGAGACTTGTGGAAGTAAAGCTGTAAGTAACGTCTTAGTAATTTAGTCATGGCGGGGTACAGGTGGAAAGGTTTTCACTCCCCTGATTTTGTAGATCTTAAAACTGGGACCAACATACTTGAAATAATCATGTCCATGGAGCTGCGGCCGGTTTAGCAGGGTCAAAACTGGAACCAGGCCCCTGCCTTCCAGCGCGGTGCTACTCAGTATTTGTTTCCTTTGGGCTCTTTCACTGTGCTGGAAGATTTCACCTGGGGGATTTTCATTTGTCTTACTTGAAGAATTTTGTCTTATTTCACTTTTTCTTATTTACTATGTACTCATGTACTCTTATTTACTAAAATTAACTAGTTGATGATAAACTCTGTTTTACTTTACAGGTAAGGAAATTGAGATTTTCCAGATTACTTCCACAGAACATTGTAAAGCTAGGATTCAACCCCGGGTCTGACCTACCCCCAAATCCCTGGGTACTAACCATTGCTGTCTCCAAGTGACAACTCCTTCTGATGTGTCTGAGGACAAATAGGTAGAAACTGAGCAAACTTAGGTACCTCAAGATGCCTGGGTTAAAGCTTAAGTATCCTTTCATAGCCCCATTAAAAGGATACAATTCTCTGTCTTCCTTTGGTCATTCAGTTTTCAGTATATCTATACCAATAGGTGTGTGCCATTATCTGTTTGTCATAAGCTCTTTTAATTTAACACAGTTGGTTTGCTTTTCACATTTTTTTAATTAAAAATATTTTTTTTATATTTTTGAGAGAGAGACAGAGACAGAGTGTGAGCAGGGCAGGGTCAGAAAGAGAGAGAGACACAGACTCTGAAGCAGGCTACAGTCTCTGAGCTGTCAGCACAGAAGCTTGACACAGGGCTTGAACTCATGGATGGTATGATCACAACCTGAGCTGAAGTCCGATGCTTAACCAATCAAGCCACCCAGGTGCCCCATTTTTCACATTATTTCTATGGAACATAATTCCAGAATGGTATTCGTACCTAATAATTACTTAGCTTAGGAAGTTACTTTGGATAGTAGTTTTAAAGGACTGGGTTCAGTATAAATTTGGTAGTAAAACGATTTGAGCTGGAGAAGTGATTTTGCTTCTGTTAGTACTCACCAATGTATGAAATCAAAGAGTTGGCTTTATTTCCTAATTTTCAAAAATATCTAATTGTCATACTGAAAATTTAGAAGAAAAGGTAGTTGAAAAATTCTTTTTTTAAAAAAATTTTTACTTATTTTTGAAAGCGTGAGCGTGAACAAGGGAGGGGCAGGGACTGGGGGCAGAGGATCCAAAGCAGGCTCTGCACTGACAGCAGTGAGTCTGATGCCGTGCTTGACGTAACAGTGCCAAACATGACCTGAGCCAAAGTCCGACGCTCAACTGATGGTGCTGCCCAGATGCCCTGATGGTGGAAAATTTCTAATTTATCCAGTACAGTACATGAACTTGAAACAATTTTTTTTAACTTACATGGTTTTGGATGCTTTTTGTACTTAACAGCGTACCTTGGAAATTAATTCCATATCAGTTCCTTATAGTGTAGCCTTACTATTTTTTTTAAGGTCTGCCTTTTTCACTAAGGCTTAAAAATGGTTCTGTATCAGGACACAGTGAGTAGCTTCATCTAGATAGCATTCCATTAAATGGGTGTATCATAATTTATTTTAGTTAAGACAAAAATGGAATCATTGGGTATGCTTTCCCCAGCTAACCTTATCATGAATGTTTTTCACACCATTAAATATTCCATATGCTTTTAAATGTTCCAGTGTGCATTGGCTCCAGTTTTTCTCAGTCCACAGCAAAGATGAATGGTCTTTTGGGTAACCATTGCTCACATCGGTGATTATTTTCTTAGGGTAAATTCTTCGGAGTGATATTACTGATAAGTACATTTTAAAGGTTTTTAAATTCATACT